GAGCACATGTGTGTCTATGCGTGTAAGTGTGATTGTGTGTGTGTATGTGAGTGGTTGTTTGTGTGTCTGTGCATGTGTGTGTGCATGTGTGTGTGTGTATGTGTATGTGTGTGTGTGTGTGTGTGTGTGTGTGTGTGTGTGTGTGTTTCTCCCCATTAGTAGAAGTCTGTAAAGGGAATATTTAAAATACAATCTCGATTGCCAAGAGATTGCAATACCGAAACAGAAACATGGAGACAGGGAAATTGGTTCATTTTTAGTAGACCTTTTCATTGTGAACTCTGAACATAGTACTACTTCTTCATAATTTACACAATTTAGGTCAATAAGGAAAGTTGTATCCATCATGCCTGTCAAGGAAAATACAAGCAGTGTGGGACACTGCATCCCAGCACACTTTGTCATGCCCAAGGAATCTGTCACACTTTATCATCATATTTTGAGGAAAATCCAAAGAAAGTTGGTGGTAAACATCGCCAATAGGCGGGATGAGGCGGCAAACTCTAACGACCACCTGTCCAAGACAATCACCTGAACAAACAATTTCCCCCTCCCCGTTTCCCCCTACTGTCATGCCTGTATTAGAATGAAACCGTCCAAGAGGATCAACTGTCTACGATGACCACTTTTTTCTTCGTGTACAAAGGATGATCGTCCTGGACAGGTTTGACTATTTTATCATCTGTACAGTACCACGTGAAATCAAAAACGTGTCACCCAACCCTTAAAGAATGTGCTTATTTAAAGTTATCTAATCCTCAAAGTCAGAGAGTGGCGTCGGTAGCCTAGTGGTTAGGCTACCGGACTCGTAATCGTGAGATTGCGAGTTCGGGGGTTCGAGCCTCAGCTTGGTCCGACGTTGTGTCCTTGGGAAAGGCACTTTACACGAACTTCCCACTTGGCTCGGTCCTATCGGAGAGGCTCGGTCCTATCGGAGACGGACGTTAAACTAGGAGGTTCCGTCCCTTAAATAACCTAATAGTGTTGATAGGGGCGTTAAACCTATACCATTTCACCACTTTTTTCAAAGTCAGAGAAGACACATTCGGACGCCACCACAAGAACATATAAGAAGTGGGTGCGGAGAAACAGAATGGTCTACGTTACTTTAGAGAACCTGTATTATAATAATAGTGAGGTGCAAAAAAACCGCGATTTTTTATGTTGTTGTAATTGCCCAATGCTGAGTTCATAGTCGTGTGATATGAACTCATACCACTCAACATTTGCCTCGAGCGTCTTGATTGGGCATTTTTTAGTGTCATAAAGATGCCATTGGCTGCGTACGTAATACACAACTCACTAGTCATCACTCACCACTGGGACACACTTGCAACTTTTTGTGAGTGGTGAGTTTATGCTCACTCAGTCCTGGGCGTATGCCTATAAAACCCACGATTCGAAATGTTGCATTCATATCGAAACAGACGAGCGGCAGACATGCCAAGGTTATCAAGGGGAAACAGAGAAAGAGCTGTCGGGACAACTGGCGGCCGGTGAGTCGGTGGGACGGGTGTACCAGGTTTTTGGTGTCCACCCAAGCACCATTTATCACCTTCGGAACCGATTACAAACGACAGCGACCACAGCAGATCGACCAAGAAACGGAAGACCAAGGGGGACAACTCCGGCCCATGATTGTGTCAACATTCGTCGGCACCGCCGGTATCCGTTTCTGCCGGCTGCAGAGACTGCCATGGAACGACTGGAAGCCAACTTAGCCGCTGAACTGTGTAACGGAGGTTAGTGACTGCTGGTCTTCACTGAAGGTGTCCTTACCAGGGAGTTGTCCTTACACCAAGGCATCCACTGCAACGGCTACAGTGGGCGCAGGTGCATGTCAACTGGCGGAACGCACAGTGGAGGAGAGTCCTCTTCAGTGATGAAAGCAGTTTCTGCGTCGATCCAGCGAATGGTCGTGTCCGTGTGTGGTGTAGAGACACGACTCGCTACGACGACAACAACGTTCTGGAGCGTGACCCCTGGGGAGGCGAGAGCGTGATTATATGGGGAACCATTGTGTTGAATCATAGAGTGGGACCTGTCATCTTCCAGAACATTGGTCCAGGGCGTGCAAACGGTGTAACGGCTCAGCGCTACATTGAACAAGTCTTGGCACCTCATGTGGTGCCCTTTCTACAGAGGCATCCTAACTTCCTGTATCAACAAGACAATGCACGACCACATACCGCACGTGCAACCCAGAACCTTTTGGCGCTCAACAATGCCAATTCATTGGCACACCCACCTCGCTCAACTGACTTGAACCCTATTGTGGGACGTGATTAAAAGACAAAGAAGTGGACTTCTTTACCTACCTTGGAAGTGTCATCGATGGTAAAGGTGGAACTGAGGCAGGTGTTAAAGGAAGAACCGCCACGGCAAGGCCAGCATTCAATCAATTATCAAAAGTCTGAAAAGCAAGCAACATCTCATTGCGCACCAAGATTCGACTCTTTAACTCCAACGTCAAGTCTGTGCTCCTCTACAACTGCGAAACTTGGAAGACAACAAAGACAGTACTGAATAAAGTCCAGACTTTCATCAACAGATGTATGAGGAGTATTCTAAGAATTAAGTGGCAGGATAGAATAAGAAATGAAGAGCTGTGAGAAAGGACAGGAAAAAAGGATATAGAAGCAGAAATAAGGACTAAGAAAGTGACGATGGATGGGACACACCTTAAGAAAGCTCAGCGGAAACATCACAAGACAGTCACTGCGGTGGAACCTACTAGGAGCACGCGGCAGGGGAAGGCCACGGGAAACAGGGAGGAGATGCGTGGAAAGGGACATGAGAGAGATGAAGCTCACTTGGAACGAGCTTGGAAGGATGGCTCAGGGCAGAGATAACTGGAAGGATCTTGTATGTGGCCTATACCCTGCCAGGGGTGGAAGGCATTGATGATGATGATGATGATGATTCAAAGACAGCTTAACCAGATGCAGCCACGGCCTCGAACAACAACCCAGTTGACAGCAGCCATCATCCAGATCTTCGGTGGCCTCCAAAATGACCAGATCAACCTTTTGATTAACTCTATGAACAGAAGATGCCTCGCTGTAATCGCTGCACGTGGAGGCCATTCGCGTTACATGTACTAAGTTTGCTCGTCAAGGTCAACGTAAGCTCAGATGAATATGTTGGACCCTCAGTTCATGTCAGTTATGTCACTCAAGAAGTGCGCAAAGTTTCAGCTGATAAACACAACAAATAAATTGAATCATATGTGTTGCATTTGGTCAATCATTGCGTCGTAATAAAAATTCGCGGGGGGTGGGGGGGGTTGCACCTCAGTAATCCTGAGTGAATGGTTGGTAGACGCTCTGGGGCGGCGGCTTGCTCTTTGTTTCCTATCAAACATCTATCGTTCTCATTTATTCGTTCCAATATGTTCCTCTCCTGTAAAACATCTCATCTTCGGTATTTCTTTGACTTATTTGTATTGTAAGTGCCGCAAAACTCTGACTAAAACTAAAACTTAAGCTAAGTTCTGACAACACGTTAGGGAGGGTGTAGATGAAAACAGATCGTCAGTAATTGTCTAGATTTAAAGCTCCTTTCAATATTGTCGAGTTCCAGTAAAGAAACGAGACCTCCGAACTAAACGTCCATCTCCGATAGGACGGAATCAAAAGGGTGGAGAGCCTTAAAAACTCCCCCAAAACAACCCACGTTCAGAACGCCCGCTGGGGATTCAAACCAGAGTCACCCGCTGCGTAGTCCAGCCTGATACCAACTAAGATTTTTTTTTTCAAAGTAAACCCGAGAAAGTTTACGAGAAAAGCAATTATACGGCGTTGTGGTGAAATCAGGCGCTCGTCAAAATGGTGAAATCGAAGAATCTGACCTTTTTTCGGTCTGTAGGGAAATTTCGATCAAATTGATTGTTCTTGTGTGTATTTGTGCTTGCTTGTTTGGTTTATTCAAAACCTTTAATGTCCACCTAAAAACACATTTTTTATTTAAATGTGTATTTAAAACCGTTGATCAAAGGCACAAAATATTCAAAATTGCAGTTTTCAAGGACACTCAATCTTTGGGAGTCACCAAACTTTGGCGGTCATATTTCTCGCCTAATTTACTTCTAACACCAGGTGACCCCCACCTCCTTCATTCGCACATATCTCGATTTGACAGAAGGATATTTTGTTCATCAGGTAAGACAAATGATCAAGGTCTAAGATGACACCATTAATGTTATATTCCCAAAAGTGGACGAGGCCCTGATTCCAACGCCTCGAGACGGAATTTTCTAACATTCAACTTTTAATAACATTTCGGACTATTTGCATATAATTTTCCTGGCCTTTGATCAAGAAAGACACACAGCGTATTCTTCAACGCAGTCAAGAATAATACCCCACAAGTTTCGCTTTTAAAAAATCTACGCCCAAGTACGATGTGGATATTGGCTCTGATCGGATTGTTTTCCTTTAGTTTTCTAAAAAGAAAAATTCTTTTTGAATGTAACTGTGTTTGCTTCTGCTCTTCCTACAGAAAACACCACTGACTAAATGAGATAGTACTAAACGTATAATGAAACAGAATCGCCATCAACATTTGTGACGTCGTTCATTCATTCATTCATTCAGTCGTTCATTTATTCATTCAATTATTCATTCATTCACTATTCATTTAATTGTTGGGGGTGCCTTGATAGTTGAAGCAGACCTTGTGCTGTTGAAGCTAGAGAGGTGGGCAGAATAAGTCTGATTCCCTGTGAGGACTTCTCTGTTGACATCCACCCCTTGGCGCTCATATGACCTTATGCAGTTGCGAGCACCGTAGAACCCTCTACTATTTAAAAAAAAGTTTATTTATTTATATGTTTGTTTATATGTTTGTTTGTTTTTGCGTTTGTTTGTCAGTTTGTTTGTTTGTGCTTGTTTAGTCAGCTATTCTTTCATTTTTTGTTCGTTCGTCCATGTATTTATTTATTTATCTATTTATTTATGAGGAGTGAGCAATGGTTGATATAATTAAATTCGCTCCTGGATCTGCTAAGTTGCAAAATGCCTTTTAAAGAAACAGACCATCCGTACCAGACAAGAAGCGAACGTAACCTGGCTCCCGTCTGATGGAGATAACGACAGTGGGCGAACAAAAAAGGGATGTGTATGTTTGCTTGAGATCAAAAATAGCCGGGGGCGTTGTGAGCTACAGCTCAAATATTGGCCCGGAATCATCGATATTGAGCAGTGCTTTGTTTGTGTTGAGTTAATTAAAGTGACACACCTGAACGATAACAACCATATCAAGATGAAAAAACGAAGACAAGCAGAAACAACGCCCGTTGGACATGCGAGAGGCACCTCCCAACCATCTGTTTGAAAAACGTATTTTCTTGTTTTGATTTAAATATTTTAAAACAAAATACTGCGTTTAATTCAAAACTGGAATGAAAGCAAATCCTTCAGTTTTAAAAAATTGATGAAGAGCATTTGACAAATTTTTCTCTCGATTTTCACCCTTTTTCACTTTTTTTGGGGGGGAGGGGTCTTTTTCTTAGAACTTGTTTTCGCATTTTTAAGCTTCAAGTGGCCATCATAAAAATATAAATTCAATGTTATGCATCTGTGCAGAAAGCTGGCAGAATACGGCCTTTAGAGACTCGAGAAATAATAGTGATACATCTTGAGATTTCGCCAAATGAAAATTCAGAAATGGAGAAGTCATATAAAAATGTTGCTAGAACTAGATCTACATAATTTGTATTTTTATAAACGTTTACCTCATATTCACTGGCAGAGGCCACGAATACACTCCCTTTCCTAAAAGCTGTAGAACATTTATAACATTGTTTTAATTTGATCTCATTTGAGACCTGCAATTACGACAGGATGTGTACATTTTGTATTTCTTAAAACCGCATAAAGTTGAACAATTGTACAAAACACGTAAAACAATAATAATATTAAAATCACAGAGCCGGCAATTCGTAGGTTTTGTTGGGTTTTTTATTTATTTATTTATTTATTTATTTATTTATTTATTTATTTATTTATTTATTTTATTAGGTGGGGTTCAGTAAGCGTTTTATGGTACTCACAGCACAATTAGGTTATTTAAGTGCCGAAGATTAGAGATTTTACATGAGAGTAACCAAGGAGGGGAGAGGAGGACGACAGACGTTTATTGGGGGAAAAGGAGCAAGCCACTCTTGAGCGCCC